CCGGCCCGCAGAATGCAATGATTATTGCTAGCGGCTAGAGCCACTAGCAGTAATCACCTGTAAAAAATCTGAGAGGCTGATTGTACCCGAGTTGATTGATCGATTCACTTGTGTACAACCAGCCTGCACATAGATGGATCTAATCTTGGCTGGTCGCTGCTGCACTGACCAAGATATTCAATCTGTCTATGGATGGCCTTTGCTTAACCCCCCTGGTGGTATTCCCGAGTGTAGCTTGGTGCTAACTTTCAGTACCAGAAGTGGTAACCCCAAGCTGCACTCAGGATTACACTGCAGCGCTTCTCCAGCGATCCCTCGAGCACTTACCTTGTCCATCGCTCCCGCGATGTCCCCCCTGCAGCGTCCCCGGCCATGTCCTCCAGCCGATCCCGGCATCCATCTTCCGGGTTCCATTCTCTGTGAGCGTCGGGACGTATAGGGGGTGTAACTGGCGGGAATTTCAAAAATGTAAAAATCTGACATTCACTCAATACACTAAAATCTGATAGTATAACATTCCTGTATCAAACCATTTCACATACATTTTGTCCCGAGTGCTTTGTCCTGTGCCCTGCCTGCATTTTTACTGTTCTTTCTGCCTGGAAACTGAGAAAAGTCTATGGCGTCCAAAAAGCGTCCCATTAGGTCAAAAGCAGTTTTAGACCAGCTAGAGAACAGCGATAGTAAATTAGAACCACTTGCAGAATTGAGTGATAATGATTCGTGGGGGAAATTCGTCATCAGACACTGAAAACGATTTTGCGACTTTGTTCAGTGATGTGCAACTTGGAGCTATATTTCAAGTTTCAGTGTTTTTTGGTTTGATTATATTATTGAATTAAATTTAATATTATTATTATTTTTTATGATTATTTATTATATTATAATTTATGATTTTGTGTTTCAAATTTTATCATACCCGGGATGTTTACTAGACTCTTGGTCGGACAGATTTAAGTGTGTTATTCCTAAGAATTACAGGCCTACAATAAAAACAACATATTTCCATTGAAAACAATGTACCGCTTTGAGCACAGAAATACTGACATAATCATACCGCTGGGGAGTTTAACTGCTGATTGAGGGGCTTAACCTGTGAACATTTGAAATGAATTAGTCAACAGTGTTTGTAGCTACTAAGGTCATTTGTTGTAAAACTCAGTTACTGCTTAATAACATATAAGCCTGACCACTTTACTTTAATGACCAGCCTGACTTTCTACAGGAGGTGCTACATTTCAGTATTTATTTATTTCAGGTACTTATATAGCGCCGTCAATTTACGCAGCGCTTTACATATATATTGTACATTCACATCAGTCCCTAACCCTCAAGGGGTGTACAATCTAAGGTCCCTATCTCACATTCATACATACACATACTAGGATCAATTTAGACAGGATCCATTTAAGCTACCCTCATGTCTTTGGAGTGTGGGAGGAAACCCACGCAGGCACAGGGAAAACATGCAAACTCCAGGCAGGCGGTGCCGTGGCTGGGATTCGGACCAACGACCCTAGTACTTGAATCATAGATCTAGGTTAAATTGTGCAGCTTAGTAAGCATCTAAAATAAGCGAGTTCATTCCTGTTTCTTCTTTCTCTTCCTATGTGATTCCAAATGTCTCCGATTGTTGACTCTCTTTTCTCTTATTGAGCTATTACAAGAAAGGCAAGGGAACAGGATAAACAAGAGCCTTGCAAGTGTCATTGATAAACTGTGAAAGCAGTGGGAAACTAACACTCTTCAACCAGTAGATGATTATTCGGCCAAAAAAATAAAACATTAACAAGGCAAAATGAATTATTAAGGGTCAAGACAACCAAAGTGACATTGTTTAGCATTTTATTGTTGTTTACAGAGAAACCTGAGAATCGTGATTTCAAGTGACGTGACACTATGTTCGCACTTCACTTTCCTTAGCTCAGAAACGATTTACGCATTTACGTTGTTTACTTTCTATAAAAGGAATAGCCGCTTATGAAGATCGAGAGGTTATCCTTCTCTCAGCTGCGTGCAAGAAATTGTTCAATCTATGGCCACTAAAGTCTACACTTTTTAGATAAAGTTGTAAATAAAACACAATTGTATTTGAATGGTTGTTTAACACCAATTTGACCAGTAGGCTAGATGATATCTATAGTTGCTACAGCGTCCTTTTATAAAACCCTTAGATCTTTGCTGAGGCATGCTAGTCTTATTACTGCATGGTGGGGACACAAGCAGACAGGAGGTGCCATTTAAATGGTACTTCTAATTAATACCATGTTGACTTTAAACAATGCAAACAAAGCAAAAACAACAATTCTATAATAAATTTTATTAAAGTGTTACTAAACCCACAACAGTAAACTCTGTAGATGCAATGAAGCATGTTTGTTATACTCACTGTGGACCTAAGGGGTTAATCCTCTGCATTGTGCAAAAAGGCTGTTTGATCCTGACTTCTCTGATCCTCCTCTTGTGCGAATGGCCACGTCTTATCTTCTGATAAGGCAGATTAAACGGTAGCCATTCTGCACATGTTCAGTTTAGTGTGTATTGCTAGAGGTTTTTGTTTTTTACTTGGGAGAGTGCATGTGATCAGCACAGGGGCAATCAGCACTCTCCAGAGAGAGGGTCAGGGGTCCTTCATCCTCCTAGAGCAGAAAGAAAACTCCTCCTACAAGCTTTAACTAGTGCTCTGCTGAACACTGATAGAAGTCACAAGACTGCTCTAACTGCTGATGAGAAAAGGTATTTAGCAGTTTATATTTACTAAAATAATTGCATTTCCATGTTCTGTGCACTGTGGGAGACCAAATATAATGAATGCTGGGTCTTGGGTTTAATAACACTTTAGGCACTTAAAGCAGAGCTGCACCCAAAAAGGGAAGTTCCACTTTAAGCCATTGTCCCCTGCTCCTCATTAAGGATAGGCAAATTTGGGGAGCGGGTACCTGAATTTGACAGGTACCCCCTTCCACTTCCGCTGCGTTCACCTAGGCGATCGGAAGCAGAAGTTGTCCTCCCCCCTCCCTCCCCATAGTCTTCTGAGACACAAGACAGGTTCCAGAAGACTACGGGGCCATTCATAGAGCGCAGCGCTTCTTGTGCATGTGCAGTGGACACTCAAGCCGCAAGCTGTCACAGCCGGGTGCCCACACTGACAATGCCGGCACACCAGGGAGAGAAGGCAGCCAGTGAAACCAGCGGTGGTGAGGACACCGCGGGACCGAGGGAAAGGTAAGTGTCTGTATTTTAAAAGTCAGGAGCTACAGTATTTGTAGCTGTTGACTTTTATTTTTTTTTTTCAGGTGGAACTCCGCTTTAAGGGAATGATGGAATCTGCCCATCACACTGTGAGCATGCATACCTCCCAACTCTTTGAGATGGGAACTAGGGACACCTATTAGCAAAAGTATGTAGGCATAGGCCACACCCCCTGCCACCCCCCAAACAAGATTTATACGAAAAAAGTTTAGTTAAACCCACAAATGCTTTTTTTTTTTACCTCTGCTGTTCCTTTATCCTGGCTTTTAAAATATACAAATGCAGCAATTTAGAAATTGGATGAAAGGTAAATGGTAAACAGTCCATTTTATATACAACTATATAGATCAGACCAAAATGAGGGACAGATGAGGAAAAGAGAGGGACAGAGGGACTTTGTTCCAAATCAGGGACAGTCCCTAGAAAGCAGGGACAGTTGGGAGCTATGTGCAAGTATGTTGTATGCAGGGGCGAACTGACAACTCATGGGGCCCCCGGGCAATAGGGGATCATGGGGCCCCTGTGTCCTTGCCCAAACTCAAAAAAGCCTATGAAAAAGGTACCAGGGGCATCTCATGGGCTCCCTACTGACCCCGGGCCCTACAGTCTCAGAAGAGAGGCAGAGGAATAGAAAGTGTTTTTGTGTATGTTTTTCGTTATTATGCTAAAAAACAAACAATAAATAAAAAAAAAATATATATATATATATATATATATATGCCCTGATTAGTCATAACTGATAACTTTATGATTACTCACCCAATATTAAATGCAATATTGAGTAGTTCCCCCTCTTGCCCAAAAACAGCCCTGATCCATCGAGGCATGGACTCCACTAGACCTCTGAAGGTATGCAGATGTATGGGGCACCAAGCCGTCAGAAGCAGATCCCTTAAGTCCTGTAAGTTGCGAGGTGGGTCCTCCATGGATAGGACTTCCTTTCCAGCACATTCCACAGATGCTTGATTGAAATCTGGAGAATTTTGAGGCCAAATCAACACCTCAAACTCGTTGTTTTCCTCAAGCCATTCTTGAACTCTTTTTGCAGTGTGGCAGGGTGCATTATCCTGCTGAAAGAGGCCACTGATATCAGGGAATACCATTTCCATGAAGGGGTGTACTGGGTCAGCAAAAATGTTTAGGTAGGTGGTACGTGTCAAATAACATCACATGATTGGTGGGATCCAAGGTTTCCCAGCAGAACATTGCCCAAAGCATCACACTGTCTCCACCGGCTTACCTTCTTCTCATACTGCATCCTGGTGCCACTTCTTCCCCACACTCACATGGCCATCCACATGATGTAAAGAAAAACATGATTCATCAGACCAGTCCACCTTCTTCCATTGCTCCGTAGTCCAGGTCTGATGCTCATGTGCCCATTGTAGGTACTTTTGGCTGTGGACACGAGTCAGTATGGGCACCCTGAGAGATCTGCGGCTACACAGCCCCATACACAAAACTGTGACGCCCTTTTTTCTGCTTTCAACACATAAACTTCAGGGACAACATGCTTACTTGCTTCCTAATATATCCCACCGACTTTCAGATGCCATTGTAATGAGATTTGTTATGCTATTCACGTAACATGTCAGTGGTTCTAAAGTTCTGGCTCATTGGTGTATATATTATAAATACCATTGTTTGATGTAATATTTGACATTTCATAGAGGTCTTGATTATGTACTAACATAAACCCTGCATTGCCTATCACAGTAAAGACACTTCTGTTGACTCCTCTTGTTTTAGGTCATCATCAGGTCAAGCAAGGCACATGTGAGGTGGTCGCAGTTCACCGATGCTGCAATAAAAATCGTATTGAGGAGAGATCACAAACTGTGAAATGCTCATGTTTTCCTGGACAAGTAGCTGGCACTACAAGAGCGCAGCCATCTTGTGTAGAAGGTAAGTCATGTATAGTGTGGGGTAAAGTGTTGTAAACCTCTGAAATGAAAATGAACAGAGTGTATCCTTCATATAGTATAAGGTATATTTGCCTCAATTTAGAACACGTAGTGAGAGTTTTGTCTATTTTGACAGGTTATGACAACACCACAGAATCCAGGTAGGTGGCGCTGCCCCCCTCCAGAACACAACAGGTGATTGGCAGCTTCAGCTGTGCATGTTTCCCTATGAAGCTGTGCAGAGGGGGTTTGTCTTTCCCTTCACTCAGGTCTCATATTACACTCAGCTCCCTGATCTATGCTATGCAGTGTGTAATGTTAGATCCCCACATTTTGCCTGCTGAAGCTGACAAATGTGTGTTTTAAAATCCAATGGAGGAGAGAGGGCTGCTGTGTTAAATAGGTACAACTATTGGAGAATTTGTTTTATTTCTGTGTATCACCTGAGGCCAGTCACTTCACTGCGCATACGTACAGTGCCTTGAAAAAGTATTCACACCCCTTTAAATTTTCCACTTTTTGTCATGTAACAACCAAAAAAATTTATTTTATTGGGATTTTATGTGATAGACCAACACAAAGTGGCACATAATTATGAAGTGGAAGGAAAATGATAAATGGTTTTCCAAATTTTTGGGGATGTCTCTACCAGATTTGCAAATCTAGAGAGTAAAATGTTTGCCTATCCAAAATAGCTCAAGCTCTGTCAGATTGGATGGAGAGCGTCTGTGAACAGCAATTTTCAAGTCTTGCCACAGATTCTCAATTGGATTTAGGTCTGGACTGTGACTGGGCCATTCTAACATATCAAACCATCTAATCTAATCTTGATCTAAACCATTCCATTGTAGCTCTGGCTGTATGTTTCGGGTTGTTGTCCTACTGGAAGGTGAACCTCCGCCCCAGTCTAAAGTCTTTTGCAAACTCTAGCAGGCTTTCTTCTACGATTGCCCTGTATTTGGCTCCATCCATCTTCCCATCTACTCTGACCAGCTTCCCTGTCCCTGCTGAAGAAAAGCATCCCCACAACATGATGCTGCCACCACCATGTTTCACGGTGGGGATGGTGTGTTCTGGGTGATGTGCAGTGTTAGTTTTCTGCCACACATAGACTTTTACTTGTAGGCCAAAAAGTAAAATTTTTGTCTCATTTGACCAGAGCACCTTCTTCCACATGTTTTGTCCCCCACATGGCTTCTCGCAAACTGCAAACAGGATGTTTTATGGCTTTCTTTCAACAATGGCTTTCTTCTTGCCACTCTTCCATAAAGGCAAGATTTGTGGAGTGCACGACTAATAGTTGCCCTGTGGAGAGATTCTCCCACCTGAGGTGTGGATTTCTGCAGATCCTCCAGAGTTACCATGGGCCTCTTGGCTGCTTCTCTGATTAATGCTCTCCTTGCCAGGCCTGTCAGTTTAGGTGGACGGCTATGTCTTGGTAAGTTTGCAGTTGTGCCATACTCTTTCCATTTTCCGATGATGGATTGAACAGTGAAATGTTCAAAGCTTTGGATATTTTTTTATAACCTAACCCTGCTTTAAACTTCTACACAACTTTATCCCTGACCTGTCTGGTGTGTTCCTTGGCCTTCATGATGCTGTTTGTTCACAAACGTTCTCTAACAAATCTCTGAGGGCTTCATGGAACAGCTGTATTTATACTGAGATTAAATTACACACAGGTGGACTCTATTTACTAATAAGTTGACTTCTGAAAGCAATTGGTTCCACTAGATTTTAGCTAGGGGTATCAGAATAAAGGGGGCTGCGCCGTAAACAGTGACTCCTGTGTGCATGCGGGGGAGTGACGTTATTGCGGCTCAGCCATTCATACCGCCAAAGCCTACGAACCCAGATGGAGGACTGGGTGAAGATAGAAGCGCCTACAGCGGTGACAGCGCACCGCTGGAGGGCTGTGCTTTCAGGTAAGTCTGTCATAATGTGCTAGTTTGCACCAGGGAAGTGAACCAGCCTTTTCTTACAACAGATCCTCCAGACTCTGCGACCAAGGTTAAGGGCACAGGCACATGCACCCTCTCACTCCCCCCCCCCCGACCATCCGACCAACCAACCTCTGGACTTGGTCCTCTGATCCCTTTTATATCATAGGTGCAGTGGGTTGGGCCCAAAGATCCCCCCAAAAGCTAAAGAACCAGAAAAAGCATTAACCCCTACCCTCCCGCCTGAGAAAGCACCTACCTAACTAATTACAACCTGCCCACAGGTTGATTGAGTTCTTTGCCTGATATATATCTTGGATCTATCTTGGTTCTCCCTGTCCTAATTCATAAAGCTTGCCATAGAAGAGTAGAATTTCGTTCAAAAGGAAATTCAGGGAAATTGTTTGTAGGAGCATTTGATCTTACCAATAGGGGCTCCACAAATTTCATATGAAGTTTTGTTCAGTTGCCATGCCAATGTTTTAATTTCTACATTAGATTTTGGGATATACATGTTCAGTATAATAAGTATGAATTTTCTTGACCGAAAACCACATTTACAATTCAAATTTTGGTTGCTCAAGAAAAATTTTCCATTCTTTTTCTTCGATTCCTTTGTCACTACGGTCAAAGATGTTTGTCAATTTGACTCCACTTACTATTAGAAAATCGAGCCAACGTTCTGAAAATGAATTTTTTTTCGAACAAAATTCTTCTGGTATTTGGCCAGTTTAATTGTTTGTCCACCTGGGAGTTTAGGGTATCCTATCCCATCTTTGTGTGCTCCATCACCTCGTGGTTCTCCAGAATGTAAAATAAATAACCTCAGAGGGAAAATGTGAAACCCCTACAGTAGATGTGCACACCAAGAAAAGCAAATTCTGGTTTACCTCTCTGGCATCTGCCGGGTGGACTGATGTTTTTTTTTTCTTAATAGTCATTCCAACACTAAGACCCAAGTAATTCCAAAACAATAGCTATCACTGTAGCAGTATCTTTACATTCATTGTTTCACCAATAGTAAGTTACCGAATGCTTTTTCTGTCTGGATAAGTTATTAGGTAGCCAGACATTGTTGGGCTTCTGTTCCGCCGGGGTGCTTAGCAGTTGCATAGACTATTATAGTTATAATTATGCCCTCAGTATCCAGATCACAAGTCTCACTCTTTTGCCAGCTGGGAACTCCTGTTCACATCTCTGACACCCAGCCAGACATGAATTCCAGGGAGGAGATCCTGCTGCCAGATAGAGTAGCCAGCTGTCCAAAAATTCCCACAATCCATAAAAAATAGAGGCTAATTAAGATTTCCTTTAAGTCTGTAAAAAAAGAAATATATATTAACAAGTGTGGTGATTTGTTTTAACTGCAGTTGAGCGTCTGCCAGTGTCTGTACTCCTATGTGATACAGATTTTAATATTTATTTGGTGGAAATCTCTTAAAACTGAACTGTAGGCAGATTTTATAGAAGGCACAAATTAATTTAGCCTTTATTTCATTAATATGCTTTACATGTAAATTTTTTAAATACAAATTCTGGCCCCTTACAGTAACTGTACAACAGAGCTCAGACCGAAAGAGGGAGAAGCAGTATAAGGAGTTGTGTTGCAGTCAGCAGTGCTCATGTACTAGCAAGGTGATTGCTTATAGGAGGAGAGAAGAATGACCGAGAGAGAGGAACGCATCAGTCTGGTGATTTTCCTTACACTGTTCAGTCACAGGCTGGTGAAGGTACTGTACTTGTAACTTTTGCTTTAACCACCAGGCCTATTCTGACACTTCTCTTCTATTATATGTAAAAATCTGATTTTTTATAGAAAACTACTTAGAATAGAACAGCCTTCCTCAAACTGAACCTTTCAAAAACCGAGCTCCTAATTTTCCCCCCTGCCCGCACCCCCCCCCCCACCCCCTCTCCATCACGACCAACAACGCTACCATCAGTCCCACCATGCAAGCCAAGGTCCTAGGTGTCATCCTAGACTCTAACCTGTCCTTCTAACCCCATGCCCACTCGCTGACAACTGCATGCAGGTTCCACCTTCGCAACATCTCCAAAATACGCTCGTTCCTAACCCCAGACACTACTAAACAACTCGTTCACTCCCTTATTATCTCACACCTGGACTACTGCAACTCCCTCCTCACCGGCCTACCCCAAAACAAGCTATCCCCGCTCCAGTCTATCCTGAACTCAGCTGCCAGACTCATCCACCTTACCAACCGCTCCGCTTCTGCCACCCCCCTCTGTCATTCCCTCCACTGGCTCCCGATTGCCCAACGCATCAAATTCAAACTACTAACACAGACATACAAAGCCATTCATAACGCTGCCCCAAACTACCTTACCGACCTGATACCCAAATACTACCCTACCCGTAATCTACGCTCCTTGAAAGACCTCCTACTCTCTAGTTCCCTGGTCTCCACCTCCCACGCCCGGCTGCAGGACTTCTCCAGAACTTCCCCCATGCTCTGGAACTCACTTCCCCAATCCATCAGATTGTCCCCTACCCTCCTCACCTTTAGGCGCATCCTGAAAACCCATCTCTTCAGGGAAGCCTACCCCACCCTCACCTAACAGCCGATCCCCTCCACTCCTCACTCCATTCCATCCCCCACAGCCATCTCCTCCTGTATCACCATCCCCTCCCTCCTAGACTGTAAGCTCGAAAGGGCAGGGCCCTCTAACCCTCGTGTATCGTGTATTGTTTTGTTACTGTATTGTCTCATGTCTTGTCCCCCATTCTAATGTACAGCACTGAGCAAACCCTTTGGCGCTATATAAGTACTCTATAATAATAAAATAGTGGGTGTTGCAATTGTCACACTTTATTTTTTTTTAAATAATTTTTTTGCAAAAAATACCCTTTGATTAATTTTTTAATATACAAAAATACAATACAATATCTAATTGTTTGGTAAAATATAAAAGATGATATTACAGAGAGTAAATAGATACCTAACATGTCATGCGTTAAAAATGCGTCGCTTGTAAAAGCAATCCAGCTGCTAGTATAGCCACTTCAACAACACAATGTACTGGTACGTCGCTGGGGCTG